CTTGAGTGTATTAAGAACCTCTAGGTTTACCTGAAAATATGAGTTACCACATCCTTGATTCGTTTAACTTCTAATACTTGTTAATCACCCTTATACACCCTTGTATCACTTAAGACCAATAGGATTAACTTCTTATCATCTCAAAGGTAATTCTTTCTTGAATTTATGTTAACTAATATATGGCATGAACTAACGCGTGTGGATATGGGTTGTAACAAATTGTTTCATTGTGCTACAAGGTGCAAGGAGGTTAATAGACAAACTTCATACCTGAACAGACCTTGTGTTACACTTTTGTCCAAAATAACTGAATGGTCACATAATGCAAGGACCTAAATAAAGGAGTCCACCTTAGACATTGCTCGACGTGATAAGTAACATAATCTAGAATCAAACAATTTATTCCTACCTCCATAAAGAAAGTAATAGGTTGATGACCCAAGGATTGAGGATTTCCAATATTGCAGTATGCGATCTGCATGAATTAAAGGAATGAAAGAAAAGATTAAGACAACAATAATTCGTTAAGATCTGCAATATTAACCCACCAGAAGTATTTTAACCCACTCTACTCTGCTTTACTCGGTCTGCGAAAAGATAAGAGAAAAGACCCAACTTTGCTTATGGAATTTTAGGGAAGAAGAACGAGGAGATTCTTTTAGTGTGGGTAAAATTTGGAAGATAGGTTTTGGTGAAATATTTTAGGGCATAGGTTTTTAGCAAAATTTTAGGGGGAAATTGTAGCGGGAACATTTAGAAAATATTTTAGAGCACGCTTATATAGAATTGCCTTTACAAATATTAACATGCACCGCTCAGAAAGCGTTGCATCACATACGAATAAATGTTGCCAATAATTTATGATTTAGAAAAACTTAAAAAGTGTAGCCTATAGTATTAACAGGAACGCTTTATTCAAAAGTTCTTTTCAAAGACCACCCTTATAAAGTGATGTCATAGATATAGTTGGCCACGCTTTTCAAGCATTGTCAAAAACTAATGTGGCCTTAGACCAAATTTGTTGTACTGTATAAATTCAAACTTTTAGGCGAATGCAAGTTTAAGCTCCTCTATTTTCAACAACAGAACTTGAAAGCCTATAGACACACGAATACTTTGTGAAAAATGCATAGATATCGTGCTTTCTTTTTGATGGGTTTTCAATGTTTGTGCCTTATGCTTCTTATGTTTTGATGATCCAACAAACTTATTGTCAAGAACAAGAAAAAGAACCTGACCCACTTGGTGTACATTTCAAATGAACAATGTTCAGTCTGATCTCCAGTAAGTGAGTGAACAACTACAAGGAAGAACATAATAGGGACCTGGTTCCTGTGGTATCACGACCCGGATTTTCCACCCTCGGGAGTCATGATGGAGCCTACTAATATGAGCTAGGCAAGCCGACTTTTTGAATAATTTACCTTTTTCCCATTTTAAATCCATTAACAATTATGAGCAATAACTTAAAGACAGCGGAATTTATATCAAGCGGAAGAAAAACAATAAAACTACTGAGTATAACCAATACAACTGTTTAAACAAGACTACCCAGAACTGGAGTCACAGCTTCACAGACGGTCTAAGAGTACTACAAACAAAGTCTGAAAGATAAATAATATACTGTCTCAGAAATACGTAAATGAAACAGGATGAAGGGATAGAGGGAGACATCTGCAAGACTACCTTGGGTCTCCGTATGGACTAAAGGTAGCCACCCAAGATAAGGTCCAAAACCTGCTGCTCCAGGATCTGCACACAGTGCAGAGTGTAGTATCAGCACAACCAACCCCATATGCTGTAAGTGCCTAGCCTAACCTCGGCGAAGTAGTGACGAGGCTAAGACCGGACTACCAAATAAACATGTGCAGTTAAACCATATACAACGGGAAAGAAGAACAATAATGTACAGTCAAGTATGGGAAGGAGAAACATGATGCGGGGAAAACATCAATTAAGGATAGAAAGACAACGGGTAAATAAGAGGAACACCATATCTCAGTTATCAACAAGAATGAAGAATCAATAAGTGCACGACATCACCCTTCATACTTTTACTCTCGTCCTCACCAAAGAATCAATATAAATTGCACGACATCACCCTTCATACTTTTACTCTCGTCCTCACCAAAGAATCAATATAAATTGCACGACATCACCCTTCGTGCTTTTACCCTCGTCATCACCATATAACCAATATAATCGACACAAAATTGTACATCGTATGGCATGGCATTACCCTTCGTGCTTTACACTCTTCCTCACAAAATCATACACGGCATCACCCTTCGTGCTTTAACACTCTCTCACCAAAATAATACACGGCATCACCCTTCGTGCTTTAACACTCTTCCTCACCCAAACAACAATCACAAGCAATATGGAAAGGAAATAATAAAATTACAATAAAGATCCCGGTAAGGGAACAATAGTTCAATAATCAAGTCCCGGCAAGGGAACAACATCAAAACATCAAAATCTCAGTAAGGGAGATAACATTAAAAGCAAAAATATCCCGGCAAGGGAGGCAACAATATGATTCTCTTCTCTTTTTCACTTTTTCTTCACAACTCACTTCACAACTTGAGCCAATGCTCTAAAAGGTTCAATTACCACTTATACTTTTACATTTCATTATACAACTTGAGCCAACGCTCCTCAATGTTCAAATATCACTATTACTTCCACAAACTTTGCCCAACAATAGAAATCATCACCAAGGCATGAATAATACAACGAAATCATAATAATCACAATATAACACTAAAGGGCATGCTTGACACCAACGTATAGATACTTGTCACCATGCCTATACGTCGTACTCAACAAGTACCACATAGCAAATACGACTCGACTCCTAATCCCTCAAGCTAAGGTTAGACCAAACACTTATCTCGATGCCACGAACACAATTCAAGTCCCAACTATCTCTTTACCTCTTGATTCTACCACTAATTCACTCGTATCTAGCCACAAGTTACTTAATTACATCAATAAATGCTAAATGAATCAATTCTAATGCATGAAAATAAGTTTTCCAAAGTTTTACCCAAATAGTCAAAAATCGCCTCCGGGCCCACATGGTCAAAACCCGAGGTTCGAACCAAAACCCGAATAACCATTCCCACACGAACCCATATATATAATTTATTTTGAAATCGGACCTCAAATCGAAGTCCAAATCCCCAATTTTGAAAAACCTAGATTCTACCCAAAACACTCAATTTCCCCTATGAAAATCATTGATTTTGAGTTGAAATCATGTGAAAAGATGTTAAAGATTAAAGAAAACTAGTTAGAAACAACTTACAATTGATTTGGAGAAGAAATTCTCTTTGGAAAATCGCCCAAGAGAGTTTATGTTTTGAGAAGATATGAAAAATGGTTGAAAATGCGTCTAAGTGTGAACTTATAGGTTACATGTATCGCAATTACGAACCCACACTCTGCTATAATCGCATTTGCGAAGACATTTATCGTATTTGCGACCACCCCTTATTTTCGAGGGGTTCGCATTTGCGAAGCAGGCGTCGCATTTGCGACTGGGGCCTTCCGCATTTACGAGCCAAATGGTCGCATTTGCGATGAGGCCTGCCCAGGCCTTTGTTCGCATTTGCGAGCCAAGCTTCGCATTTGCGAAACCTGCAGACCTGATCATACTGGCTGAAAACCTGCAATTTTCCCAAGTCCAAATTCCACTCCGTGGCCTATCCAAAACTCACCCGAGCCCTCGGGGCTCCAAACTAAACATGCACACCAACCTAAAAAAATCATACGGACCCGTGCATTCAAATCACCAAAATAACATCAACAACTATGAATTTAGCATCAAAATCATGAAATCACTTAAGAATATCAAATTTTCCAATTTTTCTCAAACAAGGTCCGATTCACGTCATTTCAAGTCCGTTTCTTACAAAATTTCACAGGCTCGACATAAATCATATATAAGACCTGTACCGGGCTCTGGAATCAAAATACGGGCCTGATACCAATGGTTTCAAACATAAATTCTTTTCTTTACTTCATAATTAATTTAGCAAAATAATTTCTTTCAAAAATTCATTTCTCGGGTTTAGGACCTCGGAATTCGATTTCGGGCATACGCCCAAGTCCCATTTTTTCCTACGGACCCTCTGGGACCGTCAAATCACGGGTCCGGGTCTGTTTACCTAAAATGTTGACCAAAGTCAACTTAAATTTACTTTAAAGTCAAAATTCATCATTTTTCACAGATTTTCACATATTGGCTTTCCGACTAAGCGCTCGGACTACGCACGCAAATCGAGGTGAGACAGAAAGAGGTTTTTTAAGGCCTCAAAATGCAGAATTTATTTTTAAAATAAGTGATGACCTTTTGAGTCATCACATTTGGGTTCTCCGACAGAAGTACAAGTCAACTGTACAGCTGGGACGTATCAGCAGAAAGTGAGTATCCGCAACTGTTACAAAGAGGAACACAATAGGGACCTAGTCCCTTATGGTTCTCTGACAGAAGTACAAGTCAACTAAACAGCTGGAACGCAAATGCAGAAAGTGACTGTCCGCAACTGTACACGCGACAGTGCAGCAGACAGTACAACGGTCACTTCTCATTGGGAAGAAGCGTGTACCAAGATTTGACATCACCATTGTGATGTCTTTTGTAGTATAACAACCTGGTACAAGGCACAAAATATTTACTTGTGCATTTAGTGATATTCTTTCAAGCATCAAAGTGTTCATCCGGCATTGAAGTCACTGGTGTATCAAGAACAAGTAGATAATTATGTTATAAACTTTTCCAAGAGAAATGTTGTGGCTTAAAATTTCCAGTACGTACATTATAGTGGAAATTGAAGGCAATAAGTCATCAATCTACCACTCTATCTCAGCTCCCTGCAAACTTAGTACTGATCATGTAGACAACCCCACAGGAAAAGAAAATAATTAGTCTGCTAGACTACTTTAAAGACTTTATTATGTGTTTAAAAGGGACAGCCAGGTATACTAAATTTCCGCTATGCGCTGGGTTCAGGGAAGGGTCGAACCACTAGAGTATGGCCCTTATGAAAATATAATTTTATAAAAATATATTTATAAATTCTACTTAGCTGCTTAATAAAGGATAAAATCCCGCCACATGGAAGTCCTCAGAAGTTCTAAAGAGATATCTTGTGAAAATTATTGTTATTATGGTATTCTAATATCGAAAACAAATAATGAAGAAAATACTTTTAACGCGATGATTTGTCAAATAATACAAATTAAAAAATTAAATCTCTGGCTCTTTTATAGGTATAAGAAAGATGAAGTTGGCCTATAGCTCCCAAAAAAATAAGAAGTGACAATATAAATTCTAAAAATGAGTAATGTTGAGTTAATATTTTATAATAAATAATCTAATGCATAAATATGTAGGGAGCTGTCATTTGTTAAAATAATTATAAAAAAAGGAAAAACAAATTAGTGGCAACTCATTTGTAATACATTTTATATCTTTTTTCTCCTATATAAATTTTAGTCTTTAAATTGTTCATACTATAAATAATTTTTAGATGGTCAAAATGGATTAAAAGTTATAGGAAGTTAAAACATGGACTACAATTTAATAATAAAAGTATATTTTTCAAGAAAATAATTATATAAATTCACGTGGAACTTTGAACTGCTTTATCAAATTTATGTGCGTGCCTAACTTATATGCCTACTTACAATTTGTTTGATTTATATAAGGTAAAATTTTAATTAATTTTAAAGTCTTTGATATTAGTACTTCCTACATAATTTAATAAGGAAAAATTTAATAACTAAATTCTAGTTGGTTTTAAAGTTTTATATATTAGGAATA